CATAAACATTCAGTCCATTGTAGACATGTTAGAGTTGAGTTGCTGGTGAAACATGGAGGTATCTGGGAGTGCAAGTTGGGAGTACAGAATATTGGAACCAGACATACAGAACTAGAGGTTATCATCATAGAAATGAATGTTGAAACTGCAGAACTACATACTTACTGAGGGAGCAAGTGTAGGTCAAAGAAAACCAGATGGCTAAGAACACAGAATTGGGGAAGACATGGAGAGCAAAAGTAGGGGTGTGGTGAAGAGGACAAAAAGTAGTAGTCAAAAAATTAAAGGAGTTTGAGAATTACATAGGGCCAGAAGTCAAAGGAGAAGACAATTTCAAGGAGGAAGGAAAACGCCAACAGAGAAGTTGAGAAGAAGTTGAAAGAAATGAATAAATAAAAATGAAAGAAATTAATAAAAATGGTTACGGTGTTGCTGTGATGCTTAATTTTAGGTATCAACTAGATTAAGAAATACGTAGAAACCTAATAAAGCATAATTTTGGGATGTGTCTGTGAGGGTGTTTCCAGAGGAAATTAGTATGTGAGCCAGAGTGGACTGGGTGGGGAAGATCTACCCTCAATATGGGTGGACACCATCCAATCTGCTGGGTACCCAGAGAACAAAAACAGAGGAAAAGACAAATGTCTCTACTTGCTAGAGCTGGGACTCCAGAGTCAGACCATATAGGTTTGTATTCCAATTCTGCTACTTAACTTCTAAGTACTTCAGTTTTCTTATCTATAAAATGGGAATAATAATAGTACCTACTTCCACAGAGTTCTTGTGAGGATTAATGTATAGACATTTAAATTGTTTGGCACATAATAAACACTCAAAAAAGTTAGCAGTTAGCCAGATGCAAGCATACAGGCCTGATGTTAAAATAATGATGTGTTATTTGTCAATATTTTGATCACTAGCATTTTATGTTAGTCTGAGATGAGAAACTGTCCCCACCTTCATAGACAGGAAAGCCAGAATATGGAATGGTCAAATTTAATACCCTGCTCAGGTCCTCTTCAGGTGGATTCCACCAAGGGCTTCTTTATTTGTTCTGGAATAATATACATTTACAACATTGAAAGATATTTTTACAATCCTATCCTAGGTATTTGAACCACCATAAAGGGCTAGTGTTACAAGATAAACTATAGATAAGTTGCACATAAACTTTGTATGATGTTTAACATATGAAGTAACCACAAAATGAATTTACAAATGGAAAAGGCAAGACAGCTACAATGCAACAGACTGAATTGCCACATTCTTTAGGATGAGGCAGAGAAATATGCTGAATATACTGCAGATCAAGGAGCCATTCATACTAGGATTAATGTTGGGCCTCCATAGTCCATAGTTGACCAACACAGCTAATTTAAGAATTCATGCAGTGATTCTTTTATTGAGTTGGAACTACAGGATGGCACTGTGCTAGATTCTGGGATACACTGAGATAGACAGGTTGACATTTTAAATAAGTAAATTAGGAATATAATGCAAAAGTGATTGAAGATATTCTGTTTATGAAATGCCCGGTGCAGTGTCTTGCACATGGTGGTCACTAAGTACATGCAGCTGCTAAAATGTTACATTAATTTTTTTGTTTTGTTTTGTTTTGTAGGCTGGTCTGAATTGGGACCAGAACCCTTGACCTTGGTGTTATCAGCACCACTGCTCTACCGAGGGAGCTAACCAGCCAGCCCTGTTACATTAATTTTATTCTACTTCTCTTCCCATTCCTCGCCACCTCCCCTCCCCCACCAAGTTTTGTTTTTTCTTCACTGTAGTCTCAGTGACTGCATCCTAGTCTGTATTCAGTACATATTAAATAATCAACCATGAAACCTAAATATCGAGCACTTAGTGCATGCCAAACGCATGTCACAGCAACTCTTTCGAGGCCGATACTAATACTATCCCTATTTTACAGATGAGTAAACTAAAGTACAGACAAAGTAATGAGGTCAACAACTAGTGAGCAGGAGGCCTGGGATTCAAATCTAGGCACCCTGAGGAGTCCACACTGCTTCTATGCAGTATTAATAAATCAATAAATCGGTGACTGAATAAGTAACAGTGCCATAGAAAAATACCTATGGGTAGAACTTCCGAAGAATGCTGTCCTTTTCATGGTCAAAATATTAGCATATTTAAACCGATATTTAAAATTTTTCAGCGCTCATCAGCAGATCCTCACGCTCCTGGACTTGGGACACGTGGGACCACACAAAAGCAATTAACTGACGAACACGTGGTTTGAACCACGACATCCTGACCCCGGGAACTCCGTAGTCTAACCTACCAACTACTTGACGAAACCTTTTTTGGAATGCGCGGAGCCAAACTGACCGGACGGCTCGGATCCGACGCGCACACAGCCGCAGGCTTAAGAGCCGGGAAGCTAACCGAGCCGGATGCCCCATCCCGGCCTGCACCACAGGCCCCGGCGA